CACCTTATCTTCCTTTTTATGGACCGAGTCCCTGAAGACAAGCAGCCTCCTGACCCTGGGGCTGAGAGGGAGCTGCCCTCGCTCCCTCGTCCTGCTTGGACATCCCCACACTTCATTCATTCAAACAATCACCTGGCTTTCACTGTCTTCCCTTTCTCTTGTTAAGTTCTCTTGGTCATTTAAAAATATGCTTGGTGTTCAAGCGGGTTCACAGGTCAAACCTGATTTAAAATGAGCGGCTGGAGGAAATCTGGAGATCTAACCAGTAGTAGATTTTTCACTCCACGTCTGCATATGGCATCTCTGTTGCTGAGAGGCAGCCTGTGTTTTAACCCTGGTTCTGCCAGGTGTACTGCGCTGTGACCTTGGGCAAGTTACTTAAACTCTCTGTGTCTGAGATTTTTTATAATGGAGATGATAAAAATCCTTATAGAGTTGTAGTGGAAATTAAATGAATGAATAAAGCATCCATGATGGCGCCTGTCAGAAAGTGAGTGCCACGTAACTTGTACTGCAGTCATTGCTGTTCTCCTCCCAGGAGTGGGCCTGTTACTTGTCGTTTCTGTCAGCTCTCCTGGAGGCTCGGAGCTGACCCGGGACTTGTCGTTTCTGTCAGGGCCTCTCTTCCCTTGGCACAGTGATGTTTGCACTTTGGCTAGTGACCTGTTCCTATGTTTGTTTTAGAATCCATCCTAAAACTAACATCCTCAAATACATGTATTAGCTGGTCATGACAAAAATACCAGAATTTTTATCAAAGAGAAAACACAAGCTGCAGTATATGGGCACAACGCTGTAAGTTAAAACACACCTGTCAAATGACTCTAGGTTGGCTGAAAACCAAAACAAAACAAGTTTGCTTTCATCCCCTATTTTTTGGCCACCTAGAAATCCAACAGCTCTCACCTGATGGGGACATTCACTCATGGGCTGACCCTCTGGGTCCTGTGTGGCGTTAATAGTTTTCTGCCCAAAGCTGCTCTTGCCTAGCTGGAGAACTGCATCTTGATAAGCTGTGCTTCAAAGTAAAGAAGACGTAGAACATCATTGCTGGCCAGTGCACTGACCTTCGGGGTCTGGGCGAGTAAAGTGGTGCAAAGTGGTGTCTCGGGGTCAGCCAAGTCCGTGCTATGACGGCCGTGCCTTCAGTCAGTTTTCATTCATGGGTGCTGAGCCTCGGAGAGGCTGTGGGTCTGAGAAGCTTGGATCACTCCTTAAAAGTGAGTAACAATAAATCAACTTTCTAGACACCACCGCTTTTCCGGTGTACCAGATCTAGAGGGGGTGACGACTAGCAGTGGGGGCTCTGACTCTGTTGTGAGCCTGCAGCTGGCGGTGGACCATCTGTGGCCAGTGCCAAGCTAACAGGTAGAGGTCTCAGGTTATGTGCCTGTATCAATGATTAGTAAAGAGCAGAAGGCATGAGAGACACGTGCATAACTGGGAATGGTATCTTTTTATCCCTTATATAAATCTGTGGTGAACCATTTGGTTGGTCCCTTTGGAGATTTGGCATTCGTTTAGAATTTCTTACCTATCTTAATTTACAATGGGGTTGTTATTTTTCTCTTTTATAAAACTGAAGTATAGTTGATTTACAATATCATGTTAGTTTCAGGTGTACAGCACAGCGATTCAGTTATACATGTGTGTACGTATATATATTATATATATATTCTTCTTCAGATTCACTTCCCTTATAGCTTATTACAAAATATTGAGTATAGTACCTTGTGCTATACAGTAGGTCCTTGTTGGTTCTCTATTTTATATACTGTATAGTAGTGTGTATATGTTAATCCCAGTTTTCTAAGCTAGATGTCTTTGGAATAGAAATTTTACTCAGCTTCTACTTATACTGAGGGTAATCCACAGCAGTCTACCAGTCCTGGCCTTTGAATGGTTTTAGGGGGCTCTGAAAGAGAAAGAAAAGAGTTGCTCAGCGACAGTGTCATAATGTAAGGGTGTGAGTCACCATTATGTTCCCCAGCCAGAGTTGCTGGGACAAAATGAGATGAGTCATGTTGAAAGACCCATGTCTGACACATGGTATGTGATCTTTAATTCCTCTCCCCATGGTGTTGATTAGTACTTAGAACACTGAAATAGGTTTCACTAAGAAAACCAACAGCTCCATAAGAGCAATGTATAGCATTTATTTTTGTAGTTATTTCTTAAAAATCAATATTGCAAACATACGAAAATAATTGAAAATCAGCATATACCCCAATGTACCACATAGGTTTCAAATGTTAAAATTTTGCCATAAATGCCTTAAATTCTTAATGGCATGAGACCTTACAAATATAGTGGTAAGTCACCTTCCCCACCTGAGCAACCTCATCCTTTGCCTGACTTCTGCGAGAGAACTCTATCCTGGCGGTGTGCATTCTCCCCATCAGTGTTTTTAACCTAGACTACATACCTATGTATTCATAAATAATATATAGTGTTGTATGTTCTATAAAAGTTTACATAATTAGTATAATAACGTAGTACATCCTTTGAACCTGTGATTTTCACATACTCATTTGAGGTTTGAGTGTAGAACTACTTCCTTTTAGCTGCTGTGTAGGATACCATTGCCTGAAATATTCCATAACTGATTTAGATACTTCATATATGTTATTTATTTATCACAAAACACTGTGAGGGGGCTTCCCTGGTGGCGCAGTGGTTGAGAGTCCGCCTGCCTATGCAGGGGACGCGGGTTCGTGCCCCGGTTCGGGAGGATCCCACGTGCCGCGGAGCGGCTGGGCCCGTGAGCCATGGCCGCTGGGCCTGCGCGTCTGGAGCCTGTGCTCTGCAGCAGGAGGGGCCACAACAGTGAGAGGCCGGCCTACAAAAAAAAAAAAAAAAAAACCCACTGTGAGGTGTTTTCGACTGGGTTTCAGAGCATGTATTCAGACCCAGGTTTCTCCAATTCCATTAAGCCATGCTTTCAATAAATATCAACAAAATAAAGTTGGAAAGAATGAGCCAGCAGGCTGTCTGCTAGTGTGTATCTCTGGGATCTGAACGTAAGGGAACTTGGTGGTTATCTCTCCTCCTGGCCTGGGGCCGGCAAGCTTAGGGCAGCCTGGTCTGCACTGGGGCTGCACTGCAGGAGGGCCCAGGGTCAGTGGGAGTCAGCTGCAAATGTGGTAAAGCAATGACATTTAGAAAAAAATTGATTTACAATGTTGTGTTTCAAGTATACAGCAAAGTGATTCAGTTATACATATATAAATACGTACATATACTCTTTTTCAGATTTTTCCACAGATATAGTTCCCTGTGCTATACAGTAGATCCTTGTTGATCACCCATTTTATATATAGCAGTGTGTATCTGTTCATCCCAAACTCCCAATTTATTTCTCCTCCCCACCTCTACCCCCTTTGGTAACCGTAAGTTTGTTTTCCACGTCTGAGTCTATTTCTGTTTTGTAAACAAGTTCACCTGTATCGTTTTTTTAGATTCCACATAAAAGTGATATCATATGATACTTATCTTTGTCTGATTTTTTTCACTTAGTATGATAATCTCTAGTTCTATCCACGTTGCTGCATATAGCACTATTTCATTCTTTTTAAGGGCTGAGTAATATTGATGTGTGTGTGTGTGTGTGTGTGTGTATACACCACATCTTCTTTATCCATTCATCTGTCAATGGACATTTAGGTTGCTTCCATGTCTTGGCTATTGTGAATAGTGCTGCTGTGAACATTGGGTACATGTATCTTTTCTAATTAGCATTCTCTCCAGATATCGATAACATTTTTGAGGCCTAAAAGACCCTGAGGGACAGAGAGAGGTTTTAAAAGAAGTGTTAAGTCATGGACCCAGCCCTCAAGGAATTTAAAATCTAGCAGGGGAGACAAAACTAACATGAAACAGAACAACTGGATGCAGAACAGCTCGGTGTGTGCTGTGCCCCCTGCCATCTTTTACAGAAATGGGATATCCTGTATCCTGTATTTTTCCCCGCATCTTGACTTCTCCCTCAACAATACCTTCTGGAAATCCTCTCAAGGTATCTAGCATAGAACTAATTTATTTTTAAAGCCTGTGTAATATTCCATGCTATGGACATATCATCATTTATTTGACTATTCTCTTATCAATGGGTCATCTCCTATTCACTGTTAATGGCTAAAAAACTTTAATAGTTAATGTCCTCGTATATATGTCCCTGTGTGTTCAGATTTCGGCAGGAGAGTTTACCAAGAGTGGCATGATTGGAGAGGAGGGTATATGTATTTTTAATTTTAATTGATGCTGCCAGATTGCTTTCTAAAAAGGCTAGAATTCATATTTCCCCACCACCAATGTATGAGTGTCCTCTCCTGACATTGTCACTTCTAATAGTTACATCTCTTTTTAAGTGTCTGACAGTATATAAAGCTATATCCAATTATTATCATTTTCTGCAACCACTAGGGAATATAAATGCCTTTTTTGGACATTATGTTGGTTATTTTTGCTGTGTTGTCTACTGCTCGTCTTTTGCCTGATCGATATTATTAGCCTTTGGGTTTTTCCTTGGTGAGTTTGTAAGAGCTGTTTATATAGAACAGATATCAACACTTTGTCATCTGTATTACAAATATTTGGACCAGCAATATCATTTGTCTGTTGGCTTTGTTTACCAGCCAGATCACTGAAGGATGATAGCAGCAAACTGTGTTTCATCAGCTCAAAGAAAAATCTAATTAGTTCCATAAGTTAAGTAACCTTTTGGAAGGGTCCATGAGTGAAGTATGATGTCAATGGGTATGGTACAATCTGCTCGTTGACGAATGTGGTAACTCACTGCATCACCCAAATTTTCTATCACTCATGCTTTTCTGATGTTCTTCAAGCCACAGGGAGGAATACTCACATGTGTGCCTGACGTATAGGAAAACACAGTTTGATTTTCAAGTAGCTCTAATGCACTCAGCTGATCTCTCTTCCTTATGGAAATAGAGTCCTGAAATACTGTATCTTTTTTAATTTTTAAATTTTTATCTTTTTAGAAATCACACCATCCTCAAAGCCTCATCCACCTGTTGTGGGCAAAGTGACTCATCACAGCATTGAATTATACTGGGATCTGGAGAAGAAAGTCAAGCAGCAGGGACCCCAGGAGCAGTGGTTCAGGTTTTCTATTGAAGAAGAAGACCCCAGAATGCGCACTTATGGTATCATTTATACGTAGGTGCAATGTTCAACTGCTTAACATTTCGCTTTGATTTCTTGATGAGCTGGAATGGTTTCTATTGTCTCCAAGAAGACTCATTTTGAAATTGAAGGAATGAGTCAGCATCATTTGCATTCATTCTTTTCATGAGTGATGAATTTTGGAAAATAAGGGTGAGCAGTCACTTTGAAATTAAACCTCCTAGACCTTTGAGAGCCCCTTAGGCTTCTGAAATATTCTAATGGTATATTTAAAAAGTCCAAAACGTAGAGACAGAATCAAAGCTGAGTTGGATGAAATCAGATGAGGTTCCCCTCAGGCTGTTCTGTTCACAGATGTGACAACCTCCCAGACCTCCGGAAGTTGTTCCCTTGTTAACTCGTTCCAACCAACCTGCTACCTCTCTCAGCCTCCATCAGAACCTGTCTTTTTTGCCTTTTCCTTGAATGCACTTCCTTCTATTTTTATACAGCTGGTTCCTTTACACCATGCACATATTATATCAAATACTGGCCCCTCCTCAAAAGGCCACCTGAAGTAGCCGTTCTTCCACCCAGCTGTCCTCTCTGCCATGCCCTTGTTTCATTTGCGTTGTGAAACCTAGCTCTGCCGGAGTCATTTTACTGTTTACTGTTCATTTTCTGTCTCCCTACCAGCATCTAAACTCCACGAGAAGCAGGTAAGATTCCTGCTTGCTTAAGGCTCTTTCCCCAGCTCCAAGACAGTGTCAGCACATAGGAGGCCCTCAAAATATTTGTTGTGTCAATAAATAAATGAATGCAACAGGAATAATCAAGAAGTCTTTTTTTTTTTCTTAGCCATCACTTCAATCCTTATTTCTTCCTTTGACAGCTTTACTGCTTGCAAAATGACTTTATGTTTTAGGAAGAAGACCAGAAATGAGTTGCAGATACGGTTTTATATTAAACTTTTAATTTTGACATAATTGTAGCTTCACATCTGGCTGTAAGAAATAATACAGAGAAATCCCATGTACCTTTTACCATTTTCCCCAGTGGTAACATTACGGAAAACTGTAGGGCAATATCACAGCCGGCATCCTGGCACTGCTGCAGTCAGGGGACAGTTGCAGCGCTTTGCTGGACTTTTCTCCAGGTGGCATTGTGGTAAGGGTGCTGGTGTGAGGGTACATACGCAGGCTTCGACTGTTACCTGAACCATGGTATCACTGCGATTTGATGCACGATTCTTTGTACCTAGAAAAGAAAACATGCATTTACCTGAAATGTAGTTGCCATATGAAAATAATTCCTGGTCCGACTACTTGAAATATTATTTTAATCATGTCATGTCATGTGTTATTCTCTGGTAAGCAGTTTCCACCCAAAAGCATGAATGATGATATAACAAGTATTTCTGTGGAGAGAGAAAAAGGTATTTTATTTCCCGTGTTTCTCTTGCACCACAAACCATGCTTGGGCAGGTTAGGTGGGGCTGTCCTGGGTGCTCCGTTGTGTCTCCACTTCTACTTTGCTGGGTGATCAGCCATGTCCACTGGCCTCCAGCCTGTGTGTCTCTGTGTTGTTATGTTTTCCCCAGAGGCCTGAGTGCTGTCTGGCCCGGGAACTCACCTGGACGGTTGCCTGGCATTGCAGAGCCAGCAGCGAGGCCTCAGACCCCCAACTCTAAGCGAGGTTGTGAGATGCTCACTTTCCCTCAGAGAATTAGCACAAACCTTGACACTAGGTGGCAGAGTTAGACTGTGTTAATCTTGACCTCTTTTCTCCATTATATCGCTTTTCCCTAGGTGTATCGTTAAAACTAGCAAATGCCTTTCTTTGAAAAAGCGATTATCTAGACTATCTGACCTTGGGATTGTGGATTTAAGAACTTCGTCTTGACCTGTCAGTTTCTGTTCATCTTCTCCAACAGCCAGTCTTGAATCAGTGCTGTCGTCTTTGACGCGGGCTCTCCTCACAGCCAGTTACATCTAGTTTTCATGAGTTCTCCCATTGCACATCCCTTCTATGCTTTCCCTTGTTAGATTGTGGCATTTCCCCTACTAGGACGCAAGTAGGATCTGTTTTCTGACTAGTCACTGCTGAATCCCCAGGTCCTACAACCGTCCAGCTTATTTGCTGGTTGAATGAATTGGCCATTGCCCTCTCTCCCTTCCTTCTATCTTGCTAGGTTAATTTTCTTTTTAATCTTCCTTTTGTCAGATTGTCTTCGATGGGTTTCCATTGCTTGAAGAATGAAGGTCCAACTCCTTACACTAACATCTGATGCCCTTCACAGTTTTCCCACAACCTGCCTTTCTTGCTGTTTCTTATTTCTGGGCATAAACCTTCCGACAAAATCTGCTTTACCGTCCTTCGAGTATGCCTTGACTTCTCCTGCATGTGTGTTCAGCTGTTTTCTCTGTTCAGACAAATCTCCCCTGCTCCATCCTTTCTTCCACCCAAGTCAGATTCTACCTCGACTGAGAAGCTACCTTTACTATCCTATTATCTACCCTGCTAAATTCCTATGATAATTGGTACCCTTATCACGCATTTCATTCATTCAGTCAGCACCTACTATGTGCCACACACTGTTTTAGATGCCGGGGATACAGCACTAGACAAACAGACAAAAATGCCTCCCTCGTGATGAGGAAGACAAACGGTAAATAAGATGCATAAGTAAAAATACAGTGTCAGATGGTGGTTCAGTACCAAGTGGAAAGGAGAGCGCAACAGTTGGGGGCTTGGAGTGGAGGTGAAGAAGGCTTCACTGAGAAGGTAATCTGCGTAAAGAAGCAAGTGAGGGGTATCTGGAGCCTCACGAGTATCTGGAAGAACATTCCAGGCAGAAGACACAGCAGGCAAAAATGTCTGGAGGTGGGATCGTGCCTGGCGTTCCAGAAACACGAGTGAAGTGAATGAGTAATGGGATGGGGCCAGCGCGGGGACGGGTCTTGGGGGCTGTCACTCTGTGCGGTGAGAAGCCACTGGACACTGATAAACTGGGGAGGGGTCTGGTGCATATGCTCCGTGAGGGTCACTCTGCCTGCTGAGTGGAGGACAGGCTGTGAGGAGGGAAGGCGGCCAGAGCAGGGAGGGCTAATTAGGAAGCTTCTGCAATAATTTAGGTGGGAGATAACAGAACAGAGTGTGAAAAGTGGTGAAATCAGGGCTTGTGAAGATAGATTTGAAGAATTTGCTGGTGCACCAGATATGGGATGTGAAAGAAAGAGGGTAGTCAAGGGGCGTCAGTAGCATCTCAGGATCGGCCCCATTGGGCTGCAGGAAGCAGCAGCTCCGGAAGCTCAGTGGCTCCCAACGGCAGCCGTGTGTTTCCCACACGGAACACCTGTGGTGTGTCGCCAGGCTGGTGGAGTGGCCTCTGCCTGAACGTGACTACTCATGGTTCCAGCAGAGGCAGAGATTGGGGCTCCCCATTTCTTGAAGCTTCCACCCGGAATGACACACTGCACCTCTGTTTATACTTCATTGCTCAGAGCAAGTCCTGCCACGTCTGAGCTCCACAGCACTCGGATATAGAATCCTTGGGAGGGCACCAAGTACCTGTGAACAAAATCCAGTCTTCCACAGGTGGCACCAAGGTTTTGGCCTGAGCAGCTCAAACCACGGAGACTCGGGATGCAGCAAACTCTCTCGTTTGCGGACCATCAGGCATCCAGGTGGAGACGTGAAGGACGCAGCTGGGGAAGAACCAGCCAGGGGAGAGTCTGGGCTGGAGAAATGGATTTCAGAGTCATTAGCAGGTGGTGGGATTGGAAAGCTGGGGGTGAAACATAGTGGGAGAAGAGAAGTCTGGGAACTGAGTCTCTGGGCATTTCAGTACTTACTTTGTTATGTTTCATGTTTGCTCAGCTCTTGCATCAGATATTTGCTTTGGCTGATAACAGAAATAATGGTATGCTTTACACTTTGATATATTTCCTCTACCGGAAATAGAACTTGGAGAAGTTCTAAGATTGCTTCATCCTTTGAGCTACCATGCCTGGGCCGTGTAAAGAAGTGCATCTACAGACGTTCGATACACAGCTGCTCTGAGACGTCCCTGTGTCTGTGCTGTAGTTGGTGTCACCCCTGTGTCTGCATTATAGTCGTGGAGGACCCTAGTGGGCAGCTGTGTCTCTGGTCCTCTCCATGGGGCCACCTCTACTGATGCTGTGAGAGCCTCCAGCCTCCAATCACTGTGCCCAGTGGCATCTGTTTTCTCAGACGGTTCTGTAATTTATCTTTCCAGGGGTTATGAAGGTGCTGTTTGCTTCATGGTGATCTTATGATGTTTAGCACCATTGGATTTTATTGGGGGCACTTTTAGTTTTATTTTGGTCTGAAACTATGTTAAGTCTTTGCCACCTGGCAATTAAATTCCATTGAGGTTTGAGCATTGTAGTCTCACTGAGCTCCTAAAGATCTTTTCAGATGCCACAAATTGAGGGCTCAGTTTCTATGATTCAAATAGCTATAGTTATGCACCTCTGCTCATGTAACAATAAAACCCACCCACTCACAAGATTACTTTGTGCCAAGCTGATATATTTTAGTTTATTGTTGTTGTTATTTATTTATTTTTTAGACCATGCAGCTTTTCTGAACATTTGTCTTGGTTTCAGAGCTTTTTCTTTCATGGTAAATATATTTGTATCTAGTTTTAACACTTCTGTTTTTTTGGCTTCTTAAGGCTGTCGGTATCATTTCCTAATTGTCTTTATTATAGTTTCTTTGTTGTTGATACATGATGTATCAGTTATCTATTGCTGCGTAACAAACTGTCCCAAATTTAGTGGTTTTGGTCAAAGTGTAAAATACACGCTTGCTCATGATCCTACAATTTGGGCAGCGTGGGGAGGGCAAGTCTCTGTTCCACGTGGTCTTGGCTGGTGCAGCTCTGTTGGGGCTGAAGGATCCAAGTGGTGTCACTCATGTGTCTGATGCCTCTGCTGGGGCAGCGGGGACAGTGGGCGGCTGACCGGGCTCCTGTGTTTTCCTTCATTGTCTGGCATCTTCCAGTGACTCTCACCAGGCAACCTGTCCCTCCAGTGGGGAAGTTGAACATCTTTACATGGCAACTGGCTTCCAAGGGAGCAAGAGCAGAAGCTGCCAGGCGTATTAGGGCTGGGCCCAGAATTACATAGCATCCCTTTGCCACATCCCATCCTATTTAAGGGGAGAGGAATTTGACTCTTAACGGTGGGAAGAGTACGTGCAACTGCAGGATGGGAGGGGTAGCTAGAGGCCACCTTGACTGACGTGGCTTCTTTAGGTGGAGAGAAATATGCTTCAAGGAAGGGTAGTCTCAGTGAAGAGGGCTGCATCCACCCTTGAAGGGCAGGAGAACACAGACGAAGGTCAGAAGGGCCTCAACGCCCCCCCCCCGCCCCCCGCCATCTTCTTCTTGGCTCTGTTAGAGCTCTGCCCAAGAAGTCATTTAGGTTTTGGTGCCTGGAGTAACTTGTGATGCAGAAAAGGGGGATCTCCGAGTATTCTGGACTTCATTTCAGCTTAAAATTTTACGTTTTGGATAATCGACAAAGGGAGAGAAACGCAAAGGGCAAAGGGTCTTTGGAAATCATTTCCTGTTTTCAAACATGGTTCTCCAGGTCTCTGAGCTGAGACTCCTCTCAGGAGCACAGATCCAGACCTGCCTGATCACCCAGCACTAGATTTTTCTGTCAGTTACCCTTTGCTCTCACCTAACCATTCATTCCCCTGGGATTCCTTGTCCTTCCAGTCCACGTGGCTTTCTCAGACTGCCTGGATCCTTCCTTCCCCTGCCTATCCTCCTGTCTGTTCTGGAAGTTGCTTGCCCCTTGTCTCACTTTACATCAGAGGCCTCTCTGCTAAGGACATGCTTTGGGGCCCCCTCTCCCCTCACTCACTCCTCACGGTAGAGGAATTGCTTGTCTGATGGGTGAGTTTGGGAGCTAGAAGGCCTTCTGGGTCGTCTTAAACTATCCTGAAGGGTTCTCCTCCCCCTGGAGCAATGGTGGGCTTGGCTGTCTATGCACTGGGCACTGTGCCTGCATCTTTGGGGAGACACTACTTTTCCAGTGGGTTTATCAGTAATGATGGCAACTCCGGCGCTGCCGTTTCAGCCTGACGCAGCTGTCACGCCCCACTGTCCTGGACTGCCCCTGTTCTTGCACCCGTCAGCAAGAGTTGACAGATGCATCTCGGCCCTGAACTGGTTCAGGGCTGCACCCCCAGCCCAGCCCAGCACCTCCCAGGTAGTGGGCACTAGATAGGTTTGCTGAGTTGCATGGAAAGGAATTGATGTATACATACTTAGGTAGCACATCAATATTTTTGAAAGATTAGTTGTGAACCCCAAAGTATGATTCTGGCCTCTGTACAAGTCTTCTGAGAATGAAGGGAACGTTATAGACAGAAAATGGGAAAAAAGGTGGTAAGCCTGGCCTCCGAGGGGCTGTGGAGAGTGTCCTGAAGGGAGGAGGGCAGGGCCTGGGCTGGGTGTGGAAGCAGGAAAGAAGAAAAGAGCTGGAGATACTACATCCGCACTCCCTCTCCACCCGCCCTGCACACATACAGGTCAAGTCTTTGAGGTGTAAGGAGAGAAAGATTTAGATGAAGGCTTCGAAAAGAGATACATGGAATTTAATCAGATGCTAATAAAAGTTTTCGGCAGCAAAGGGGAGCTGAGATTTTGGGACTGTTGGGATAGACATACAACTCCTGGGACCTTTGGAGACCTGGTATCCTAGAAAGTGGGGCAAGTCAAAACCAGACCCCCAGGCCCTGCTTCGCGGCCAGAGGTCCGGGGTCTCGGCACCTTCACTGGGTCTCAGCGTCTCCTGAGCCGGCAGCACTGCCCGCCTGCGTTTCCTGGTCCTCGTTTTTCAGCTCCAAACGATCCAACTCAAATCTTTCTGCCTGGAGGCCTGCAGGTTTCCATCGCAGCCTCTAACAGTTTTCTGCTCTCCAAGTGTTCAGCACCTGCTTCCCACAAACGTTTTCCTAGGTGAACCTGACCGTGTGGCGTGATAGGAGAGTCATTTCTGTGCTGCCCACCTCCCCAGCTGCTTGGGGGCTCCGACCAGTCACGCCCTCTCCCTGCAGTGGGATTTTGCCCGCAATAGGTACACAGCGGCGCCCATCCACCCGAAGACCCCTCTCAGCAATCACGTATGTGCTACTTGGACTGCCGAGCTTAGCTTTCAATTGTGAAACTTTGCCATATGAGGACAAAAAAAAAAATCATGGGTTAACGTGATCATTTCTCCAAAGTACAAAATCGCGAGCCAGCTGTGCGTCAGCCCTGGGGGAGGGGGGCTGCGGCATCGAGGGCACCTGCCGGGCAGGGGTGGACGCCTGTCCTGTCCTGTCCTCCGTGCTCAAGAGTTCAGCCCAGGGTGAGAGACGGACAGCCACCAAGGTCAGCTCTGTAGCGGGGGTAGACAGTGCTCAGAAATCCCTTCCGCTCGCCCTTCTAATACCTTTCAGAGGACGCTGCCCCGATTACCTGGCGTCATCATCACGTGTGTCTCCTTCCGTCTAGGGGATACGCGACTAAGCATGTTGTGGAAGGTCTGGACCCACGGACCCTGTACAGGTTTCGACTGAAGGTCACCAGCCCCTCCGGAGAGCATAAGTACAGCCCGGTGGTCTCGGTATCTACGACCAGTGAGTATGCAGAACTCGAAACTCATTTGTCTAAAGGTGACAAGCAATGTGAAGGTGAAGGTATTCTGCTTTCTGCTCGGCCTTACCGGAAACAGAAACCGTTCCATTTCTAAGCACTGTGATAACATTGTTCACTGGCCGGGCCTGGCCGTCACATAAGGGAGGTCGAATTACGCTTGAACAAATGCAAGAGCTGTTTTTGAGCCAGCACTTCCCTGGGAGGGCACGTTCAGGAAAAAAGGATGGAGTCACCTTTCTCAGGAAATGGGCCAGAAGGGTGCGGGCCGAGCAAGGGTTCCCATGCGGAGAAACAGGCTGCCCCCCGGGCGACCTCAGGTGAGAGGTCCACTCAGCGTTTCGTCCCTTTTGGACAGCTTCAGTGTATCCGTCAAGACTTGACACAGCAAGTGTCAAGTTGATCCCTGGGAACCTATGGGTGAGGAATGGTGAACAGCGCTGCTTCTGTCCACAGGACGCAGGGAGGGGGCCCACACAGAGGTGGGGACAGAGGCCGCATCCTTTACCCAGGGCAGGTCTAAGGGTGCAAATATTTTCTGGGATCAGTATTTTCTTTCTTTCTTTCTTTCTTTTTTTTTTTTTTTTAAAGAATTTTTTTTTTTAATTAAGTTATTTTTGGCTGCGTTGGGTCCTTGTTGCTGCGCGTGGGCTTTCTCTAGTTGCGGCAAGCGGGGGCTGCTCTTCCTTGTGGTGCACAGGCTTCTCATTGCGGTGGCTTCTCTTGTTGTGGAGCATGGTCTCTAGGCGCACAGGCTTCAGTAGTTGCAGCACATGGTCTCAGTAGTTGTGGCTCGCGGGCTGTAGAGTGCAGGCTCAGTTGTAGCACGTGCACTCAGTGGCTGTGGCTTGCGGGCTCTAGAGCACAGGCTCAGTAGTTGTGGCTCGTGGGCTCTAGAGCGCAGGCTCAGTAGTTGTGGCGCACGGGCTTAGTTGCTCTGTGGCATGTGGGATCTTCCCGGACCAGGGCTCGAACGCATGTCCCCTGCATTGGCAGGCAGATTCTTAACCACCGTGCCACCAGGGAAGTCCCTGTGATTGGTATTTTAAAACATTTTGAAGGTGTGTGTGTATGAAGTGCCATCTTTGAACTAGAATATTGTGAAGATTAAAACGGTCAGAAGTGTTTTTCACTTCTGAAAATACCCACCCACCAAAAATACAGACAAATCTTTTTTTTTTAAAGAAGATGTTGGGGTAGGAGTTTATTAATTAATTAATTTATTTTTGCTGTGTTGGGTCTTCATTTCTGTGCGAGGGCTTTCTCTAGTTGTGGCAAGCGGGGGCCACTCTTCATTGCGGTGTGTGGGCCTCTCACTATTGCGGCTTCTCTTGTTGAGGAGCACAGGCTCCAGACGTGCAGGCTCAGTAGTTGTGGCTCACGGGCCCACTTGCTCCGCGGCATGTGGGATCTTCCCAGACCAGGGCTCGAACCCGTGTCCCCTGCATTGGCAGGCAGATTCTCAACCACTGCGCCACCAGGGAAGCCCCCAGACAAATCTTTTTTTGATTGCACAAAGGGAGTTAAACATTATTTAAAATTTTTGTGAGTTAAACGTTATTTTAAAATTTCAGTCAATGTAGCATTTGGCTTGTATACATATATATATATATATATTTTTTTTTTCTGTGACTTTCAGTAGTGTCCTTTAGGCATTTACTGATGGACATTTTTGTGCAGATGAAAGGTAATTCAGATTTTGAGTTGGTTCATAACACCTTCCGTTGCAAACAAGGCATTAGGGGATTGGATCTCAGTTTAGCGAACTGAGAATTTAGTTAAAGCCTGAGGGTGGTGATGCCATATACACCCCCAAACAGTGCTCAGCTAGCCGTGGAGAAATAGAGTTTCAGAGGAGACTTTTGATGTGAAATGGTCGATTCCAGAGATGCAGGTCAGGAAAGAGGGCTTGGCCCTGAATCTGGTGAGGGTGAAAGCATTTGCTTTTCTATGGGAGATATTGAGCTCCTGGAGTTTTTAGGGGTAAGAAAAGAAGGCAGTGCCTTACTTCTTTGTGTGTTGAGGGAAGGCACAGAGAAGGGAGGAGAGGGGGCAGGAGAAAAGTGGGCAAAGGGAGCCCAGCGTGTGGAAAGAGGCTCTGGAGGGCAGCTCCTCCGGGCCGCCTTTGGGCTCCCTCCCGTTCCCGCCACCCCCAGCCACCGCTGCACTCCTCTGGCTCTGCCCCTGCATTCTGGGGTGCCCTCCCTCCCCACTGCTGGGCCTACCGCGCCCACTCCGGGGCAGAGCTCAGTTCCAGGCCATTCCTCGTGTGGCTTCCCCTCGTTTGCTCTGCACTCCGCTTCGCTCCCGCGCAGGGCGCTGTCTCACCACCTCTAGTAACGCTCCTTTGCCTCTTATTTTACGTATTTGTTCATCTTCTTTGTCTTCCGCCTACCATGCGTGCTCCTGAAGGGCCAGGGTGATGGGTCAGTCATGTCTAGTTATAGAAGATCCTTAAGAAACGGTTGGATGGATGGCGAACGAAAAGCCCCCAGTCAGTACTGGGGGGAGGAGGAGGTCTGATTGGCTCAGCTTGCCTTCCTGTCTCTTGGGAGATGGATCTGGTTGCCACTGGCTGGGGAGAGGCCCCCTGAACCTGCCGGGTGAGGGTGAACTGGGCATAGGGCCAGTTGCGGTAGGCGGCCCCTAGGATCCTTAATACCACATCAAAGCCAGGGCAGGGGCTCCTGGGCCTTTGGCCAGAGGTCACATGGAGTCAGGGCAGCATCTGGAGCTCTTCTAGGAAGGCAGAGACCGGCTCGGTCTGTCGGCTGACGAGGGCGGTGCCTGCAGGCCAGGTGCGCCTTCTCCTTGCTTCTGAGAGGCAGCCGCGGAAAATTGGTCCAAAGGTCCAAGGCCTTTGTCACTGCAGTCCGTGGCTTCCGTGGCTCATCAGACAAGACCTCCTGCGGGGACGAGGGTGGGCTGGAGACGAGGCTCCTGGTGATGCCCTGGGAGCCGAGTGTCAGGTCACAGCACACGTGCCTGCAGCCAGGATGCGCTCTCAACCTCAGGACGCTCTCCTGGGTGGGAAGGACCAGGTAACCCTTGCTTCTGGCTGCTGCTCCTTAGGCTGCTGCTCTTATTGTATCCACAGCAGACTCTCTTAAGGAGGCAGATCCGGCTAAACAAAGAATTAAAAATGTGCACATTCTATAAAACAAATGAAAATGCTTCTGTGGGTTGATCATTTGCATTCGGTTAGAAAGTGCTTTAATGAATCACAAAAGCATGTACTTTGAATAAAGGATGCTCAGCCTTTTTTTCCCCCCCAGGTAAAGGACATGAGACTCTTGTTTAAATGAGGCAGCATGCAATTTTAATCAGTTGGGCCTTAAAAGGAAAGGAAAACAGCTGCTGCTTGTTAATTGGCAAACAGCTTTTGCCAATGAGCTCATCATTTATTCACTGTTTTTAATAGAGACTTAAATTCCACCAAGGAAGGCGTTATCACCATATTTTAATATCTGTCGGGACATGTGCAGCTAAATGACCCTCTTGCAGAGCGTGAGCAGTGGTTTCCCAAAGACCTCTCTGCCGGCCCCCCCCCAACTCCTCGCCAGGCGTTCCCTCCTGTGGTCCTGCTCGATGACGGGCATCCTCACCACGGGCAGCAAAGGTTCAATATTTGTAATAATTGTGACACCCTGGTAAACATTAGAAAAACAAACCCACAAAGGCAAAGCCTGCCTTTTCCATATTCCATTGCACTTATTGATAGCAGTCCCTTGGGCCAGGCCCACAATGTCTTGAAGGATTCGGGGGCAGAGGACTGGAACATTCTGCTCACCCTGGAATGTCCCCTCTGTTCTTCATGACTCCCGCCTAAAGTGGGAGTAGAAAGAACTCTGCCCTGCAAACAAGAGCCTCTGCGCTTTTCTGTTCTCTGTCAAATTCCTGTAACCTGTGAGGCTCTGTCGTGCCTCGGTTGATTCCTCTCCGGGCTGGCGCCATCCTCAGTACCTTGTTGCCTTCCTGGCAGGGGTCTGAGAGGGTTAATGAGTTAATGCTGAGAAAGAGCTTTCATGCCCCAATGGTAGTTATTGCTTCCCTTTGCTGGAACTCAGCAAGCAGGGAAGGATGAACAATTATGTTGTTTTCCTTCTCTTCCGTGAGATGTCCCTTTGATCCCAGAATAAGTTGGGAGAGTGCTGATGACCCCTCGCAGAAGCTGGAATAGGCAATACATTTATTGAAATGATACCGTAATATCAAGATACCCTGGTCTCTGCTATGCACGGTCCTCAAGCTTCTAAGCACGAAATGAACTTATTCTGTTTTCTGATATTTGCACGCCACAGAGCTCCCTGGGTAGGATGGGAAGTGCCCGTACCGGGAGAGCCATGCTGGGCAGGTAAGAGGGATGATGTGGACTGAGGTGGTCAGGGCGTAATGTGCTGGGTGCTGCGTGTGCTTTTAGAGCTTTCCCTCAAATCCCAAGAAGTTAGCACTTTTCCGAAGCTTTCTAAGCTTTAGGCCTCCCCTTGCACTTCACACTTTGCAGGGGCTGGGGGTTCACGTGTGTGTATTTAAGATGTCTGCTTGTATACAAAATTTAGTAAGAGCGGAAGCATAGAACGGATTGGTCAGCTACCTCGACATCTATTAAGCCCCAAACGAAGGAGTGTGGCCTTTCGGAAGACCTCCCTTTGAGCTCTGATGTTGCCCCCTCCTATCTGGGTGACCTTGGACAACTCACTCCGCCTTTCTGGCCCCGTTTTGTGGTCTGAAGGAGATTAAAAGCATCATGTGAAGTTCTAGAGACAGCTTAGTTAATTGGATCTAGTTAGGATACCATACTTTAAAATTCAGTAGAAATAGGATGAGCTTCCTATGTCCTTCTAGATGATTCTGTGCAAATCACTTATTTTGGTGTTTTTAGTGGCAGTTGACGTTTGAGAGTCACAGAAGTAGGGGCTGTTTGGTGGGATAATGAAGACTTTCCCACCACACCGTCCTTCTCCTCCTCTCTGGGAAGCGAGAGGGAAGAGGAACTTTCCATGGGTTTCATTTGCCCACTAAAGTATGGGTCATGTTAAGTCAGTATGACTCTAGTGCAGGGATTCTCAGAATCTTCATGGTTGGTGACTGGGGCTGCCCCGTGTCTGTAGGATGTTTAGAGGTATCCCTGGCCTCCAGCCACTAGATGCCAGTAGTACCAATCCTTAAGTTGTGACAACCAAAAATGTTACTAGACTTTACCAAATGTCCTCCAGGGGGGCAAAAGTCTGCCCCCTCCCACAGCCCCTCGCGAAAGCCATGACCTCCCTCAGAAGGCCAGGGACTGCCGTGGGCCTTGTCCTCTGGTGGGTTATCATGATACATTTATTTGAGGCTTTTGGTTTAAAACTATGTGTGGAATGATGAAAAGGAAGTATAATGTAGCTAAGACATCTTGAGGAGATTGGCAAGCTGAAGCAGACAAAATTGTTATTTCAAAACAGTTTTAACTTGGCTTGAATTTATTTTTACCAGAACAGAAGAAAAGGGTATCAGCTAAAGGTCACTCTGACAGGGATCTCTTCATTCTTCTGCCCCACTGTTTCCCGGTTTGTACTTTGTCCAGCGAAAAATCCTCCATGGAAACCGGGAGAAACTCGGCTCCTGTGCCTGGGAACTGGCGTCCCAGAGTTTTTCCACCGTGAGGAGCAGGGACTGGGAATTTTACTTCACCGCTGGCTGAGACGGCCAGGGGCCTCTGCAGGCCAGACTGTAAGAGGGAGGTTAAGGGGCGGGGTGAGCCCCAGGGGCTAGTCTGGGGTTGCGGTGGGAGGATAGAGGGGATGTTTTCTTTCAGGGTTGAGAATAGTAACAGCTGAAAGTGGGCCCTGCAGTGTGAAGGGCAAGAGAGGGACATGTGTGTCTCATTCTCTCTGGGGCTCCCAGTGTCAAGACTAGGCATGTAAGGTATACATGAACCTTTGTTGGGGAGCACGGGTTTGATCCCCGGTCAGGGAATTAAGATCCCACATGGTGTGGTCAAAAAACCCCACCACCACCAAAAAATGAAACAAATTTGTTGAATAAGTGAATGAGCCTTTTTGAGATGGACGAAGCCGGGGATTATCAGCTCAATGCCTGTGAAGGCCGGTAGGGTGCTAAGTGTGGGAGGGGGCTGGGCACCAGGCAGGAGAGAAAGGTGGGCTGCCCTGGACCAGGGCAGCTGCTGTTCTGTTACTATCACCTTGACAACAGATACTTAGGACGTACAGGTGCTAGTCTAGCACTTCACTTGTATTGTTTCATTTAAACTTAATTCTAATCATCCAAAAAGTCAGAACGTCATGGAAGGTGAACCAAGTGAAGCCATGAAGTAAACATCCTGATGGATGGGCTTCTTTCACTTGGTCCTGAGCTCACACACTGCTCATTTTTGGACTCCTGCCCCATTCTCTTCCACGAAGAGTTAGTGCACAAAGGGCTGCCCCTCTTCCCATTGTTCCTTTACTGTTTCTCAGAATCCCTCGCCTGCTTTTCTCCACTTGGCAGGCTTGCTCCCACAATCAGGCTTTCTCACAATGTTCTACCTCTCTGGGTATGAGCCCTTCTGCCTCCACAAGCTCACAGGAGGCAAGGCCAACGTGAGTGTTATGTTCCTGGGAAGGACTGAAATTGTGGATTTCCAATGTTAAAGCAATCAGTCTTTTATCGCTTGTCGTTCACATAGTTTAGTGACTCCTTGGCAAACAAAACCCGCACATCGTGACAGTGGTGGAGCTTTCCCTTGCTCATAAGGGACATTTATTATGTCTTCTGAAATCTGAAAGGATTATTTTCAAATATCAAAATAACATACACACAGCGGTACTTTTATAACTTGAAAATGTCCCAAGCCTTTAGGACAATCTAAATGTTCTTCTCTTAATATGTGGAAACGAGGTCTATTTTCAGTAGGAGGGGAGTATGTCATGTAAGAGATACTCAGCGGAATTGCCAAGTGCCTTCTTGAAGGTGAACGTGAACTTCCACTCAAGGCCACAGGAGGAATAGAGCTGGAATGAACCTTCTTTCATTATATTTTGGATGACTGCTTTCCATCTACTTTCTTCAGGAGAACCCATAAGCAGTGAACACTTGCATAGAGCTGTCAACGTGAACGATGAAGATTTGCTGCTTCGAATACTACAAGGAGGGTGAGAGAGCTCTGCCTTTTAAAAACTTAAATTTTTTTTTTAATTCCCAGTAAGTGTTTAGAAGTGCATTCATGCAGCTTAACTTTATTTTCCTAAAATTGCCCACGGCTTTGAAACTGGCTCCAAAATTGATCTCAGGTGACTGGTGTGAGTGCAGCATGGCTCGTAAAGATGACCGTAGACAGCCCCATGTAAATGATATATTTTGTCATTATTTAATGAACATTGAAAACAGATATGACGAGTCTGGGTGTCATATATTCTTCCCAGAAATAACTTATGACTCTTGCTTATATGCCGTAGCATTTAGGCAAATTTTGCCCCTAAATGCCTGTGTCTAATTCCTGATGAAATTAAGGAATCACTAAATCAGCTGTTTCTAACTCAAAAGGCTGATAAAACCCTAGAGGGAAAATGTTGAATACGGTTGCCGCCAATGAGATACTTGAAGCTGTCTCCCAAATGAAAACAGGACAACGTTATCTAGATCGTTTTAGAATTGATAGTGTTGAGTGCCTTAGAAGACAAGTCATGTGTGAATTGAGGCTCTGTAAGTTGGAGAAGGTTCCCGAAAAACGCCACAGCTTCTAAGCTGCTGTTGAAGAGCTGGGCTTTCTTTCTTTCTTTTTTTTTTTTTTTTTGCGGTACACGGGCCTCTCACTGTTGTGGCCTCTCCCGTTGTGGAGCACAGGCTCCGGACGCGT